CCCCCCCCCCCCCCCCACTGACGTTTTTTTTAAATTTTTTTTTAGACGATAAAACATCAGCACCTGACGTTTTCAGTAGCTGTTTGTTTATCCCTCGCGCGAATTTTGAGACAAGTTTAAAGATGCTCAGTTACTATGGTTACGACATATGACGTCATAAGTAGCAGGTTGTCAAGCCATTTTGGAGTGAAAATGCATGTTCTTTCAAATTTTTTCAACAATAAAAGTAAAACTTGTCAATGAAATGATGCAAAGGACTTATTTATGTGTTATTTTTTACATCTGAAGCACAGAAAATTACCATTTATCGCGATTTTATCCTGATTTCTAATTCTTGGTGAAATCCAAGATGGCGACCATTGTTGGTGACGTCACAGGCCTCCAGCAGCGCCACCATCCATTAAAAATAAACCTCATCTTGTTGAGTAGATCAACGGCTTTCCACTGAAGGCAAAATCGTTTCGAAATACTGCAAATTATCAAAAACTCTGGGGAGGGGTTCCATCCACCCCTCCCCCTTATACCACGGTTGGGGTATGAATTTGCGTGTTTGTCCGAGGGTTGACCCCGTTAAATTAATTTGAAGTATTTGTTTCAGTCATTTGCTTTAAAGCCGGGGGGAAAAAACTGAAAAGGAATTTTTAAGATTTTGATGATGGTGATTATTATTATCATCAATATTAAGATTATTACAATGCAATTTTCCTTTGCCAAATTACAATTTGCCGGTTAAGGCAGGTTACACGTCGAGAAAAGGGGCAATCATCTATACTACTACTCAGTCAGTTTCGCGGGAGTAAAGAAATAATCGTAAACAGCGTTAAGTTCTTTCCCCACGAAAATTGTTTGTCTTTTTCCTAAGTTAAAATTGATAAGTGTAGCCGTTGCTAATATAGAGCTCCACAGTATACAGTATGCTCTTTGATTTACAACGTTTTTTTGATGTTATTAATTAGAGAGATTTAGAGTTACGTTTACGGCAAACAGTGGATTTGTACTACGTGAATAAGTGTTCCCTATACTTCTCGAGCTTTCTCGTTTGCTGTTAAATAAATCTACAAAAAATTGTTAGTTTCGAGTTAGTTTTATCCATAAGAATTGCTTTGAGCTGTTTTCATTTTATCCGCATATTTTCTATTTTGAGAAATTCTCAACTTGAATCTGTAGACGTTTGCCATTTGCCGTTAGGGTGACTATAAATCTCTCTATTTAACATCTTCTGAAAAAAAATGACTAAAATGAAAACACGCTTTTTTACCAAACGCCCCATTGAGGACAGCTATTAAATAACGCGCTTCTTTCTTTGGGGAAATCCAGATATATAGACGCTACTTCAGCAGTTGTGTTGACATCAAACTTTCAGCGCATCCCTGTAAAAAAAGTAACAATTGATACATTAATTAATCTTTCATTTCAAATCAAAATAAAGGTCAAAGCGTTAAATTTTAGGATGCCATGGATGATGATATGAAAAATAGCAAAATGAAAAACATTTAACATGTTAGACATATTTGTTCGTTTTGAAGCTATGAATTTCTCCACAGTTAGTGCTAGTCCTGTAGAAAAACGAAGGAACTTATTCCCTTTGTATATCTCTTATCCACACCTGACCTAAACTATTTAACAATTGAGAGCATTAAGCAATGCCTAGTGTTCAATTGATTTTTGAAATGTGTTGGTAGCCAGTTAGGAATAACATTTACTTGAGTGAATCCATAATAATTTAACACTTACCACCCAACCCATCCTTACTTTGTACAAATTTTTATTCTTTTTATTATCAAGTCTGTCATTTTCCCTCTTATCTGAATTTGACAAGAATGGTTCTGGCTTTTCGTTTTGAGCCTTCTGTTACTAGAACAGCAAGAAAAAAAATCTCCACTTACGACTTCCTCAATGACTCTTTTTCCAATTCAATCTTAACGTCATCGCCCATCAGAACAAAAGGAGCCCAGTACTTCGGGGCAGAATAATCTTGGGAGTCTCGAAGACATTTCATGGCCCTCTGAAGAGCAACACTTGCACTTTCTCCACTTCCAAGTTGTTGGTAGAAAGACTTCATAAACACCATTGTGGCTTCGTCATCAATTGCCCAGAGTGCCGCCAGCACGGAACGAGCACCAGCAAACAAGAAAGCACGTGCCATACCGACCACACCCTCAGACGATACCTCTCCTTGACCACTGTAGGGGCAACTAAGCACAACCAGTCTCGCTCTCAGCTTAACAGCTTGTATATCAGACATCTTCAAAATACAGTCCTCCTCCCTAGGAGTGTCGGATTCCCATCGGGGGTCTGGAGCCAAAACAATTTCTCCGGTTTCGGGCCTTCCGTTGGCTGCAATGTGAACTAAAGACACTGACTTGATTCTCTGAAGCACGGCTTCTTTGGTTGCGTCTTCACCTGTTAAAGGTTGACTCTTTAGAATTTCTCCAATCATCTCCACTTCCATTTTTGCGTACTTCAGAGGACCATAAATGGGGTTCCCCCGTTTATCTGTAATTTTCTTCAAGCATGGATCTCCAACAAGCAGGGCTCCACTTTTACTGTGGTATTCAATTGGAGAATCTGTGATGACTTTCAAACTTGTCAGTGAGGGAGCAGTCCGGATCCTTAAAGTTTCACTCAGGGCTGCCCAAGGAGCTTTAGACAAAGCGCCATCAGGAACTACAATTAGTTCATCACCATCAAGCAAGTCTTCAATGGGACCAAGAACTGCATCATATAATGGCTGTAAAAAGTCGGTGCTCTCCTGTGATGGCTCCGATGTTTGATTGTCGTCTCGAGTACTTAAGTGAGTTGAGTCAATGTTTTTCAAAACAGTGTCTAAAAGGAGAGTAAAGGAATCTTCGTGTTTACGACCAATTTCTATCTCCGCTTGCCTAAAAATAGGGTTGCCCTCTTTTCCCAACACCCAGATATTGATTGTTTTCAAATGAAGCGCAAGAAAAACTGTTAAAACAGTTGTCTTCCTTGAAATATTTCTGACTTCTTCTTCAGATTCAATTGACCTGGGAGAAAGTGATGTAAGGCCATAAGTTACTTTTAAGGCATCGAGCAAAGCCTGTGCTCGTCCCCTCTCAGCAGCGTATAAAGCCTCATCATTCCTTTCAAGCATTACTAAAACCTGCCATAAATGAGTGTAGGCAAATTGATGTTTCGTACGGAAACTTATTTTCAATTGATCTTCCGAGATAGAACTGGCTCTAATAGTGTCATAGAGTTTTACACTGCATCTAAAATGTTCTAAAGCCTCATTCAAAGAATCTGAATACAAAAAAGATCGACCCAGACTGCTATGGGCACATGCTTCTGCCATCCTGTCACCGATTTCCTCGGAAATCCTCAGGTGTTGCTTGTAACACTCTATTGCTTCCTTCAAGTCGTGGAGTTCTCTATAACAACTTCCGAGGCGGCAATAGGCATGTCCTTGTCCATCCCTGTCACTGATTTCCTCGGCATTGCTCAGGGATTGCTTGTAGTACTCCATTGCTCGTAGCACGTCGCCGAGGGATTGATGAACGTCGCCAATGTTTAAATAGGCATGTCCTTTTTCTTTTCTGTCACCGACTTCCTCGGCAATGCGCAGGTGTTTCTTATGGCACTCCATTGCTCGTGGGAATTCTTGAAGGTTGTGATAAGTAACGCCGAGATTGGCATAGGCTATGCCTTCCCTTGCCCTGTTACCATCTTCCTTGGAAATGATGAGGCATTTATTGGTGTACTCTATTGCTCGTTGGTATTCGCCGAGAACTAAATAAATATTGCCGAGATTGCCATAGCCTTTCCCTTGCCCTGCCCTGTGACCAACTTCCTTGGCAATGATGAGGCATCTATTGTTGTACTCTATTGCTCTTTGGAATTCATTAAGGCTGCGATAAGCAAGGCCGAGAATTTCGTAGGCGTTGCCTTCCTCTACCCTGTCACCAACTTCCTTGGCAATGATGAGGTATTTATTGGTGTACTCTATTGCGCTTTGGAATTCATTAAGGCTGTGATAAGTAGCTCCGAGATTGCTATAGGCTTTGCCTTGACACACTCTGTCACCAACTTCCTTGGCAATGCGGAGGTGTTGATTGTGGTACTCTATTGCTCGTTGGAATTCTTCAAGGCTGTGATAAGCAAGGCCTAGATTGCCATAGGCACGTCCCTCACCTGCCCTGTCATCAACTTCCTTGGCAATCCTGAGGTGTTGATTGTGGTACTCTATTGCTCGTTGGAATTCTTCAAGGCTGTGATAAGCAAGGCCGAGATTGCCATAGGCACGTCCTTCACCTGCCCTGTCACCAACTTCCTTGGCAATCCTGAGGTGTTGATTGTGGTACTCTATTGCTCTTTGGGAGTCACCGAGGGAATTGTAAGCGCAGCCGAGCTGGCAATAGGCACGTCCTGCACCTGCTCTATCACCGACTTCCTCAGCAATGCTCAGGTATTGCTTGAGGTACTCTATTGCTCGGTGGAAGTCCTCGAGGAAGCAATAAGCTCTGCCTAGATTGTAGTAGGCTTCTGCTTTCTCTTCCGTGTTTTTATTGATTTGCGCTTTTGTAAGACGCTTGTTTTGTTCAGCTATATCTTGTAGTATTCTTTCTGCCATTTCCAAGTTTTACTATTCAAAGCAGAACTGTTTCTTGGCAGTAAGGTCTCTTTGAGGAGCGTTGAGGTGGAGTAAAACAAAAATAATTTTCATTAATACATTTGGAGTCTTAGAATATACACTGTATGTTCCCATTAGACAGATAAGACATGACAAAACTTTCCACTCCTTCCTTTCTAGATTTACTCGAACTGACGCTTATCCGAAATTTTTTTGATAATTGCTGAATATTGGTGTTATAAGACGATATTTCTGGACTCCCCGAGGACAATTACTTCGAAATAAACATATAATTCCTGTCACAAACATCGCCGAGCTTGTTGAGTATGTGCTACCCCCACACAACAATGACGTTACCAAGCCTCGTGCGCTGAATACGTTTCTAGATGGACTTGCAGAGTTAGGAGTCGATAAAGGTTTAATAAAGAACAAAAAGTTATTAAGCGATTTAATAGAAAAGGAAAAAGGCTACCGAAATGCAGAAAATACTTCCGATAACGAGAGTAATAATGAGGAGAGTTCATTGGATATTTAAAATTAGAAGGGGAAGGATGAGGAGGAGGAGGAGGAGGAGGAGGAGGAGGAGGAGGAGGAGGAGGAGGAAGTGGCTTCTGAGAATGGTGTTGAAGTTGACTCCCAAGAGAGCTACAACGACACTAAAACGACCAGTCAGGAAACAGAAAATAGAACATGGTGAGAATACTAAAGTGTACGGAACGTTGATCATGAAATGTCCTAACTGCTTTTGGCACGATTACTACAAGATTTGTCCGATATGCGATCACCAGATCCCCAAGGAGAGAAATTACATCAAAGAGGGCTTTCTTCGGTGTCACGATTGTGGAGCAATTACACACAAAAAAGGGAAGACGTTGGAAACCAATTTTTATTCCCCCTCTAAAGAGGAGAACGAAGAAGAGGATTAATTTTTCATTTCTTTCAAATCGGTGTTTGTCATTGGTTTTCAATAAAGTTTTTAAAACTGTATCTCGTGTCTGGTTTTATTGTGAGCGTTTATTTTGGAAACATCTTCCATCGCAGAAGTGATATCGAGTCGTGCAAATTTACTTCAGTGAAGGGTTTATCCTCTAATCGACGAGTATTTCGCATGACTTCGGCAAGATTTTAAGACAATATATGGAGAAATGGAGCGTACAACGAGGTATAAAAGTGGCCACGTCAGGAAGTAAGTAAACCTACTTCTAATTAGCTATTTTTAACCCAGATGCGAAGGTTACACAGCACTTAACATGTTTCGATTCGTGCACCGAACACCCTTGAGCTCATAATCGATATATTAGAAAAAGTTTTCTTGTCTCCATACATATTCTTATACGAATTCGCAGCCATTGTGGCCTTAGTGCGCACGCGCAACCGCCATCTTGTCCCTGATTTCTGGCAATGAGTAATTTTCCTAAAAACCTTTCTGGCAGTACAATTCACATAGTCCCAATGAACATTGAAAAATTTAAAAGGCAGCTGTTCGAGGAAAGATGTCTTGACTAAATAAGTTCGTGACCTCAATTTCTTATTAATCAATAGAAGACTTAGTTTCACAAATTTATGCACTAAGCAGGTCTTTCTTCCTTCGCTATTGTAATAAAAATGAAAATTATTATAAATTTGTGACGTCTACAGCATGACAGATCCACATTTAACACAAATTATCCTGAATATCCGGCGTTGCTTGTGTGAGGAGGGGTAGTGGTGGGGGTTTTGGAGGCGGGGGAGGGGGAGGGGTGGAAAGGAAATGGAAGAGGAGTAGCGGAAAAGGGACACAACGAAGGTAGAGAAACACAAATCGGTCAAAACAATATTCTTGTCGGACGTTTTGCTTAACATGGAACAAACATACTTTGTTTCGCGGTCGCAAACCGGTCTAAACTTATTAATTATTCCTAAGTAAAATGGAGAGGGAAAAAAACTACAGCAGGAAATCAAAATAAACCTTGCAGAAATATCTGATTGGACAAATTCCAAGTTAAAGGAGATTATTTCTTACCTGGACGATTTGATATCTGTGAAGAAATTTTCAACGGAGTTTTGAAGTGTTCTCCAGTGGTTGGATTCAAATGCAGAGGACCATCAAATATATAGGGTGGCTGTTAGAAACAAAAAAAACCACAAGACAACAACAACAACAACTAAAATAGAAAACGCAACAACAAACGAAACAAACGCAAAACACGAAACACATAAGACAAAACCGAAACCCAAAACAGAAAAACACTAGCAGAAAACAGAAACACAAATGCCCAAACGGAAATGCGCATCCCCAACAGGAAACACACTTTAAAAAAATACAAAATTAAACCGCAAAACTGAAACAGAATCCAAAAATACAAACCATAACCACAAAAGACGAAAACAGAAACAAGGAAATAGTGTAAAGCTATACTTTCTCATGTTTCATCGTCTTTTTTTGAATAGGCGTTTTACGTTTTTTTTAGGGAGAGCATGATCGCAGGCTATTATTATCTAGGAACATCAAACTGTAAATCAATCTCGTTCCCAGCCTATCTCTTCTCCCCGTCGCCTTTCGCTCCAGGTGACCGGTATTTTCGACTCTGAGGTCTCCGGTGAATTTTAGCCCGCCGGGGTCAAAACCACGTGGGGTACGTTTCTCGATCGTCCCGGTACCTTTTCTAGTCCAAAGCAGACAACCTAAAGTGAGACGTAACTACTAACGTATGGCGTCAAAATTACAGAGATTGACTCTGAATGAACGTCAGTTGCTCGAGATTAATACGCCTGACATTAGGGAGGCGACGGTAGGGAAACGTCATTTATAAAGCTATTTGGCATACTTTTAAAATTCTATCTTAATTGTCTAAGTTGGTCAAATGTAGCTAAATTTTCCGTGGAAATAAAGTTTTAGAGAGCACTGACATCAAAGAGTAAATAGAGAAAAAGAAACTTGTCTTTGGGTGCTTATGTCCTCCATATAACGTAGTGATGGCGAATAAAAATTTACAAAAACGTGCCATGCACGTGCAGAGTTATCGTTTTGTTTATTGAACCTATATCAACGGTCACCCCCCCAGTCCGAAAAATGCAGCAGTTCAGAATAGACTGGGGCCACGGGGCCTAATTGGCTATTTACGCGATGGCTTGTTTTTGCTACTAAAGGAATTCTTTCATATTTAAATTTGGTAATCCCACTGAGGTTTAAAAAACGAAAGCCCTAATTTGCACAAGAAAGCAAAACCCTGAAGGAATCTTGGAGAAGAAATTTGACCCCGCGATTGTCTCTTGGATTGTTACTGGGGTCACGTCGGTCAGCTATTGACCAATCTTTTTCTCTGTCCTTAGTAACAATCCCAGAACTCTTTGCGAAAGTAAACTCGGCTGAGTTTCCCTCTAGTTTTGTATCACCTGTGTAGGATCCTGGCTTAAGAGTGATGGATCAATCGGTGGCCTCATCTGGCACGAGGGCATTATCCATGATACTATTCTTCCTACACAAACCTGTAAGATACATGCATTATATACTTTATTTGAGACCTTTAGTTTTTATGACGAGGACGACTACGAGTACGAGATTTTCTTAATGCTAAGCAATGCGCGCGCATGAACCAGCGTCAATTTGGCGGGAAAACGTGATAGCCGTCGTCATTCTACTACGAGTTTTGCCGAGAATGACGCTGTGACGAAAACAAGTTATCAAAGGTTAGAAGCTAAGTTTTATCCATGGTTTTATTATTTTCGGTCGGGAGAGGGCTTAAACTCCTTCAATAAGTAACAGTGCTAACTTTTCTGGTGAATCAATTTCCGGGTGTCAATTTTTCTTTTTGAGAAGAGCGAAAGTCGTACTCCTAGTAGTTCTCGTCCTCGAATCTAAAGGTCTCTTTTAACCAAAGCGTGAGGTCCAGATAGCTGAATATTGGTCAAATTCGTTTTGTTTTTTTTTTTGCGTTTTTATATGTAGAACAATCACTCCTGTATTAATTTCGCACCCCCCCCCCTTCCCCCAGAAGACAAGGTTAAAAACTTGACTCGTGATAAAATTATCTCCTATTAAAATAATCATCATATTCCCTTCCCTCCGTTTCGACTAGTGATTAATCAAATATTTATGTTTAAACAACATGTGAATTGACTATAAAATAAACTGCTGCCCCTGCAAATATTTCACATCTAAAAACTGTTTTATCTCACTCTGCATTAAAGCTATGGTAAAACGGACAACGAAAACGTGAAACCTGTTTTGCAAAATTGCTGGGAAGCTAGTTGAAAAGTGATGTTGCGCATTTTACTATCCATGAATGAAGCCTCCCTTGCAGCAAATCAGGTTTAAACAAGTTGCGAAAAAGTTGTTGCAGAAACTAGAGAGAAGTTCTACTATTTGCAACAAAAACTGTCAATGTTGCGCGTTTTAATTACCGACCCAAAGCAAACTTGTTTTGCATCAAGTGACGTAACTCCTGTGTATGGCGTGAATCCTGCGTAATTTTATCCAATTAGGAGTCAGTATTTACGCAACTTGCATCACTGAATCTTATTTGCTACAAGACAGGTTTGATTTAATGGGCAATAAAACGCGCAGCATCGCTTTCGGACTCGTTCTGCAGCAACTTCGGACTCGTTCTTGGCCCGTTTTACTGTACCTTTAGCCTCGTTTTTAAAGCGAGATATAGAGTTTTTGGAACTCGGAAATGGGCTATTATAGCCTGTGATCATGCCCTCCCTATAAAAAAAAACCTCGCCTGATCGCGGGTTAAGATAATTAAAAGACGATGAATCATGAGAAACTATTATTTTACATTATTTCCTTGTTTCTGTTTTGGGGTTTTTGATCATGGTTTGTATTTTTAAATTCTCTTTCAGTTTTGCGGTTCAGTTTTGTATTTTTTTGTACGTGTTTCCGCTTTGGGATGTTTATTTCTGTTTTGGGATTTGTATTTCTGTTTTCTGGTAGTGTTTTTCTGTTTTGGGTTTGCTGTATCCTTTTTTTTGCATTGACGGCACCCTAAGAAAAGAGAAACAGTCTTTGCATTGTG